TCTTACCTTATCCAACATAAGAAAACTCATACTGGAGAGAAACCCTATGAATGTGATAAATGTGGAAAAGTTTTTAGGAATCGTTCAGCCCTTACTAAACATGAACGGACTCACACTGGAATAAAACCCTACGAGTGTAATAAATGTGGAAAAGCCTTCAGCTGGAATTCTCATCTTATTGTTCATACGAGAATTCATACGGGAGAGAAACCTTATGTATGTAATGAATGTGGGAAGTCTTTCAACTGGAACTCCCATCTTATTGGACATCAGAGAACTCATACTGGAGAGAAACCGTTTGAATGTACTGAATGTGGGAAGTCTTTCAGCTGGAGCTCCCATCTTATTGCCCACATGAGAATGCATACTGGAGAGAAGCCCTTTAAATGTGATGAATGTGAAAAAGCTTTTAGGGATTACTCAGCTCTTAGTAAACATGAAAGAACTCACTCTGGAGCAAAACCATACAAATGTACTGAATGTGGAAAATCCTTCAGCTGGAGCTCCCACCTTATTGCCCATCAGAGAACTCACACAGGAGAGAAACCTTATAACTGTCAGGAATGTGGCAAAGCATTCAGAGAACGCTCAGCCCTCACAAAACATGAAATAATTCATTCTGGAATTAAGCCCTATGAATGTAATAAATGTGGAAAATCCTGTAGCCAGATGGCTCATCTTGTTAGACACCAGAGAACTCACACTGGAGAAAAGCCCTATGAGTGCAATAAATGTGGGAAATCCTTCAGCCAGAGCTGTCACCTTGTTGCTCATCGGAGAATTCACACAGGTGAGAAGCCTTATAAATGTAATCAGTGTGAAAGATCCTTTAACTGTAGCTCTCACCTGATTGCACACCGGAGAACTCACACCGGAGAGAAACCATATAGATGTAATGAATGTGGGAAAGCATTTAATGAGAGTTCTTCCCTCATTGTGCATCTGAGAAACCACACTGGAGAAAAGCCCTACAAATGTAATCACTGTGAGAAGGCTTTCTGTAAGAATTCTTCTCTTATTATTCATCAAAGAATGCACAGCGGAGAGAAACGCTTCATATGCAGCGACTGTGGAAAATCCTATAGTGGCCACTCAGCTCTGCTTCAACACCAGAGGAGTCACAGTGAAAGGAAAGTCTGTGAATTGAACTGATGAGAGATTTTCACTGTACATTTGCTAACACATTGAAAAAACCCTTAGAGTCAGAAGGAGCTGAGGTTTTTTTAGTAAGAGTTAATTAAGACTCTTCCCCTTACTACTCAATAGGAAATATCTTCTTAGAAGACTAGTGAAAGAAAAGAATAGAGGAAAGCTTAGCAGTTAATGTATCCCTTATTTAACTTCAGATCATTAGAGTGAAGAAAATTCTTGAGAAGTCCTCTCGTGATCCACTAGGAATCCCACTTGAATTTGAATGAGGGAATGAGATGTCTTTTAGTAAGAGATCTCAAATGTGGATCAGAGTGCATTGTTGAGGGGAAAACCTTATGCTAGAAAAGGTGTTTCAGCTGGAAATACACTGTTTTGCATTGAGCTGGAGTATTGGACAGGAAGCTTTACAATAACATTTTGTGCATAACTATGGAAGTATAGATTGTGCTATTATAAGGGGGAGAGTCTGGGTGCCCTTTAAGAAATAGAGTGTGGAATTCTAAGTCTGAATTTTAAGAAAAAAATAGTATTGAATGTGATATTTACTGTTGATCAAGATTAACCTTAGAAAAGATTAGTAAATGAGATTACTAATGGTGGAAATGTTTTTGACTAGAAGTATGAGACTGATGTTGGGACAAAAAGTGATATTTAAAAACCCAGTGTGTCAGTGTCCACAGTTTACTCATTACTGCATTGTTGGACATTAGTTTCTAATTGTTTTAGGTAATCACTATAAGTTATATTTATGGACACTGCATTAGCATACATAACCTGAAGAAATAAAAAGGACACAGAGTTGTATATACATATCTAACATCTAACAAAATGTATATGGATAAGGACTGGTAAGACCCATGGATAAATTAACCCAGTTAATTTAAAAACATTTTTTCAAAGTTTTACAAACATACAGCACTTACTATGTGCTAGGCTTGTTTTAAATGCTTTTCATTGATTAACTTGCTCAATCCTTAGTTATATGAGGTAGGTACCATTATCATCCCAGTTTTACAAATGGAGAAACTGAGGCAGAGATGTTGACAAACCTAATTAAGGATGCAGCTAGTAAGGAGTGGCGTTGAGATTGTTTGGCTCCAGAGTTCATGTTTTTAACCACTATATTATGCTGACTCTCCAGTGATTTTTCCTTCCTAATATTCTTTTTGTTGTTGTTGTTACTGTTCAGTGTTTCTATAGTAGATATTTGATAATAAAAATCAAGAAGTTCTTAAATAATGAGAAATAAAGTTACCTGGCTCTCTGTCCTGAAGGATTTCTGGTAACATGAGCACTAAGTTCCGGAATATGAAGTCTGTTTTGGACTTCAGAATCACCTCACTTTCTGAGACCTGGGTTCCCTGGAATCACACCAACCACAGCCCTGAGGATTACAGCAGAGCAGGTGCTGGAGGACTTAACTGGAAACTCAGACAAGCCAGAGGAATGCTCTCTGATGGGTTCAGAATGCTACTTACATGGCAGAGGGCATGACATAGCACTGCACATGGACACACCGTTCCTCAAGGTCTACCCTGAATTCACGTTTATATTTTCTTTATCTTTTCTAGATGAAAAGATTGCTTGATCACAGAGAGGACTCAGATGGGAAGGGCGCTAACCAGTTCCCATAGAGTGAGGAAGCCTGAGTGCTCACATGAGAAGGGGTGAGATGAACAGGAGGTCTTGGGTGGCTTCTCTCCAGTTTCCACATATTTCCTGTATTTCCCTGTAGGGCTATAGTTAGGGGCCAGCTATCCTTCCTAGAGATGTTTCAAGGGTATTGGTTAGAAATACAGGGGACAAAACATTCATGTAGGTCCATGACTCCCCAGTGGTTGTGCAACAGCAGCCTCCTGGTGTCGTGGGCGCCCTCAGATGTTCATCTGAGCACCCTGTCACTGGAGTTTCCACAAGCATGTGGGATCTGATTCCCTCCCTCTCAGGGCTTACTGCATAGTGATCACCCAGTGTCACAAGTCATTGAATTCACAATGACTTGTGAATTCAAGTCATTGAATAGCTTTCTCACATGCTTTATGCCAAGACCTGTGGAGAGAATAGAGGTAGCAGTATATAATCCTAAGGGGTAATCACACCTATACATGGTCTGTCCTTGACCAAAATTATGTCATCTGGTACATTACTGTTAGTAGGAAAGCAAGCCTCCCCGCTTAAGAACTTTCTGAGGGCTCTGCTCACCTCAGTTTGTTAACTGGATGTTACTTTTGTCCAATGAATAAACCAGCTGGCCTGGGAGGTGGTGAGCTCACTCTTTTGGAGCTTGGTACAAACTAGATGGGGCCCACCCTGTGGGCAGTACTGTCTTGGGATCCTCCAGGGCTCCACGGGGTAGGTGTAACACCCCAGGTGGAGGGTGGAAAGGCAATCTTCCACAACTAACATTACATGTAAATGAACATAAGCAAGTTTTTAAGATTTTATTTAATTATTTTTAGAGAGATGGGAAGGGTGGGAGAAAGAGGGAAAGAAACATTGATGTGTGAGAGATACATCAACTGGTTGCCTCTCACACTCCCTCAGGTGGGGACCTGGCCCGCAACCTGGGCATGTTCCCTGACTGGGAATCGAACCAGCAACCCATTGGTTCGCAGGCTGGCATTCAGTCCACTGAACTACACTAGCCAGGGTGCAAGTCTTTAAGGTGATGATCTAAGTGGCCCATTTACAATCATCCTAATTCTGGACGTCATGAGTTCCATGATGCTTGTGGGACCAAAGCACTCAGATATGAGTTGAATCTTTACTAACCACTGAAGTTACAACTTGCCAGTATTGGAAACAGTGAAAGGAAGAGGGTGTTGCAGGGTGGGGTGGCAGTGGACTCTATGCTCGTTCAGAAATCTGGTGAGGACATTAATGACCCATAGGTAATCCTGCTAGGCAGTGACTTGGGGAAAGGTACAAATGCAGAACTGGAACAGGTGGATGCAGACATGGGAATAACTACACTTGGTTCACCCTCAGAGGGGCTGAGTGCCTGGAAAATGGCTGGTATGCTTGTTCATTCATTTGTTCACTGGTGTTCGGCAGATGTTCTGGGAGGGGCTTCTGTACATGAAGCCTGTGCTAGTCTGTGGGCCCCTTAGGAACCACAGTCACAGGTGAGATGTTGGGGACATCAGTGAGGACAGGTCTTGGTGTTGGGGCCAAAATAGGCAGGAACCGGTGTGGTGGCACCGGTCTAAGCACCACACTTAGACCAGGGAGGCTTTCTTGGAAGGTGACACTACTACCTATTTTGGTGCATGGCTAGGAAACCAACAGCTGTTTCCACTATTACAGGGAGTTTTTAGAGAGGAAAAGAAAACACGCACTTGTGTTTCAGGGCAGAACATGAGACTCGGTTTTGTTTGACAAAAGCAGATGGATGCACTTATGCATTGTGGACACTGCTACAGAGGCATCAAAGTGGGGTGAGCCAAGGCAGGAGAGCCTAAGGAAAGTTGGGGAGAGAGATGGAGGAGGCAGGCCTGGTACCAAAAATAAACAAGAGGAATGACTGGGATAGGGAGCAAGCACTGCCTCCTTGTTAACTGTCTACTTCTTGAAGACAGGACCTGGTCTCTCGTACTGGCCCCCACCAACCTAATCTCCCTTCGCACAGCCCCTCATCCCATCAATGTCCCCATTGGCTGACATGATTCCATGAAGAAAATCCACGTGGCAACCTGGACTGACTTCACACTGGAGGCTCCAAGGCAGAACCCACACTCTGTGGGGAGCAAAGCACCTTAGTTCCTTGGATGAATATATAGAGCAGATGCTGGACTCTAGCTAAACAGTTCCTTTCATCCATAGGATTAAAGACTAACAATAGTGGAATGATGGAAAAGGTGCAAAGTTCTTTCACCTTTTTATTTTTGTTTTTAATGGAATGGCCACTTCTTGTATGCCTGCCTTATGCAGGTGAGTTCAGACCCCAGTTTAATAGGGAATGCCAACTACTGTGTTTACTTGTTTCAGAAGTATTGAATAAGAAGGGATAATTACATTTCACTGCTATACGTTTTCTTTTCAAGGCCATCAGTAGTCAAGATAATGTGTAAGAGTCACTAGACAGCCCAAAGTGTCTCCTAAGAAAAGTAAATTACCTCAAATTCAGCAGCCCCCACCCCAAGACCTGGCTGTAAGTCCTTGCACTGCTCATTCAGTGAAATCAAAACTAGTTTGGGGTCTTCTTGTCTGCTATGTGAAGTCTGTCCTCTTGTGATCCAGAGAGTTGAAACATACCTGAGATTTGTTTTACTCAGGTACGTGCAGATATGGAAATGATTGTTAGGAAGGAAGTGTACATGCACAGATTCCTAGGAACAGCAGGCATGGCACACCTACCTTTTAGAACCATGTGGGAAAGGACCAGAGTTGGTCAGGAAGCAGGAAGAGGAGGGGAGAGTAAGGTCCAGAGTCTTTACCAGAGTTTCCCTTGGAAGGAATGGGCGAGGAGAGGTACATGGAGTCAGCTTAAGGTTGGACAATTTGAATAATTTTGGCAGGCTCTGGGCAATTGGAGTGGTTCTACTTGTCCAGTACCTGGCCCTGGGATGATTTAGGGCAGAGGGAATATTGACCTGGAGTGTGAGAATTTGATCAGGATTGCTTGGTTTATACATCAAAGGAATGCTTGCAGGGGGTCTTTTGCTCTCTGTAGGAAATACTAGCCCTAGGAGAGAGATTCTAGGATCAAGGCCCCAAATGCCAGAGCATCAAAAGAACAGAAAATAAGAAAATATAGTCAATATAACCAGCAATATCATTTCTAAGACATTTTATTAAAAATACACTAATCAATTTCCGTAGTCCACTACTCTCCCATTCTGTTTAGTGACTTTTTCTGTCATATCAATTTAAAATATCAGTCCCATTCTTATATTAACATGCTTTTTAACTTTCCCATCAATACATTTCTTTAAAATGTATTGATTTGAGAGAGAGGGAGAGAGAGAGAAACATCGGTTTGTTGTTGATACTTAATTTATACATTCATTGGTTGATCCTTGTATGTGCCCTGACCAGGAATCAAACCCTCAATCTTGGCATATGGAGACAACACTCAAACCATCTAAGTAAGACAGCTCAATTTTCCTATCTTAAGAAACAAAACCAGCCTCTTGATTGCTTAGGCTCCTCCAGAAGCTTAGGCTCCAGATCCGGCAGACAGATGGATCTGTCCCCATCTTTACAGCAGAGTTCGTTAAAAGTTTCCTAAATTCGCCGTGGCTGGCATACATAGCTCAATAGATTGAGTGCTAGCTGCAAACCAAAGCATCGCAGGTTTGATTCCCAGTCAGGGCACATGCCCGGGTTGCAGGCCACAGCCCCCAGCAACCACACATTGATGTTTCTCTCTCTCTCTCCCTCTCTCTCTCTCTCCCTCCCTCTCTCTCTCTCTCTCTCTCTCTCTCTCTCTCTCTCTCTTTCTCCCTCCCTTCCTTCTCTAAAAATAAATAAATAAAATCTTAAAAAATTTTTCCTAAATTCACATCTCTAATTCCTTTCCTCCCATTCTCTCTTGAACCTCTTCAGTCAAGCTTGTATCCCCACCACATCAGTGCTAATGTCACCTTCATCTGGGTTCCTGATGACCTTCCTGTTGCCAAATCCAAAGGGTGACTTTCAGTACTTGTTGATTTGAAACCATCTGTGACCCATTCTCTTTTTTCTTCCATTATTTCATTATGAAAATCTAAAAACACAGAAAAGTTGAAAAAATTATAAAGCTCACATCCATATACCTCACACCTGCAGTGAAACATTTTGCACTGCTATCATTTCCACAGCCCAGGTTCTTTTCATCCTGCCAGGCTGACTTTTCCCTGAGGGCTGAGCCTCAAGGCCCTTTTCAGCATGGTTGCCTATTGCACTTTTTTTTTTTTAGTCTGTACAAACAATAACTCTCTAGTTTTTCCTTTTTTGTTTCAGGTGATAGGAAAGATGATACACCTGAGCCTACAAAGAACAACATTAGAGCACATTCCATGGCTCCAAACACCAACACCTGGGATGCAGGTTGGTGGAATTGCATTTCAGGCTGCCCTGTAATATTCTTTCATCATAGCACTGCACAGCCTGAGCCCATCAGGGCAGCACTCGGGTTCTGAAACTAAGACAACTCTCCTGTTGGGCTGTGTAGTTGGCAGGTGCTGCTACACTGAGTCAGGAAGCAAAATAAAGGGCTTCCACCCAGGACAGGAAGCAGACAAAGGGGAGTCTGCAAGATACGGGAATTCAGATTATGTTTGTTCACACAGGCTGTGCAAGCTTGCCCTGATGTTTTTAAAAATTAGGAATGCTAGTTTTTTTAATCCTCACCTGAGGATATGTTTTTATTGATTTGAGAGAAAGAGAGAAACATCAATATGAGAGAGAAATGTCAATCAGTTGCCTCCTGTACTTGCCCTGACCTGGAATCAAACCCTCAACTTTTTGGTATGGGACAATGCTCTCACCAATGGAGACATCTGGCCAGGGCAAGAATGCTTTTTTTTTTTTAAATTTTAATTGTTGTTCAAGTACAGTTTTCTGCCCTTTACCCCCACCCAAGCCCACCCTCCCAGCCCTCCCTACCTCCCTCCTGTCTCCACCCCTGTCTTGTTATTGTCCATGTGTCCTTTATACTAGTTCCTTCAAACCCTTCTCCCATTCCCCTGAAATTTCCTCCCCTCTTCCCTCTGGTCACTGTTAGCCTGTTCTCAATTTCAATGTCTTTGCTTATATTTTGCTTGTTTGTTTAAGAATGCTTTTTTTAAATGGAATTTCTGATTTTATCTCTGATTCCCCTTTGGAATAACAATATGATTAACTAATATATTACCTGATAAGCACCTCCAAAACAAAATTTGGTGAGAATTTTTTCTTTTCTTTGTAGTGATGATTCCGTGTAGACCTGCTCTTGTTCAAGTAATTACAATTGCATGTATAGTCTTAAGCATTGCCCTGGTGTGTGGGGCTGCTGTTTCCTATATAATATAGTAAGTCTATGCTAAGTAACATTACCATCCTTAAATAAAACATAAATTAACTAGGTTATTATTTAATGATGAGGGTGATAATGATGATCATAATGCTTTTTTTAAAAGCATTTATTTATTTATTTATTAAAAAGATTTTATTTATTTCTTTTTAGAGAGGGAAGGGAGGGAGAAAGAAAGAGAAACATCAATGTGCAGTTGCTAGGGGCCATGGCCTGCAACCCAGGCATGTGCCCTGACTGGGAATGGAACCTGCGATGCTTTGGTTTGCAGCTAGCACTCAATCCACTGAGCTACACCAGCCAGGATTCCATAATTCTTTTAAAAAATGTTTATTGATTTTAGAGAGTGAGGAAGTGACAAAGAGACAGAGAGAGAGAAACATTAATGTAAGAGAGAAACATTGATTAGTTGCCTCCCATATGCTCCCTGACCAGGGATTGAACCTGGAACCTAGGTATGTGCCCTGACCAGGAATCAAACCCCCAACCTTTTAGTGTACAGGATGATGCTCCAAACAACTGAGCCACACTGACCAGGGCATGATTATAGTTCTTATGATCACTAAATTATTGTAACCTTTATAAATTTCCAGATCAGTGTTTTTCAGAATATGGCCTGTACTCATATTGGGACATGATATAAATTTTTTAAAAAGAAGAGAAAGAACAGAATATGGTTTAGAAAAATAGAATATATTAGAAAGCATTACATGTATTAAAGGAAATGACACTGAAAAAAATTTTAAAGATATTCATGTATGTATGTATGTATTTTTAGAGAGAGAAGAAGGGAAGGAGAAAGAGAGGGAGAGAAACATCAGTGTATGGTTGCCTCTTGCATGCCCTGCACTGGGGACCTGACCCACAATCCAGGCATATGCCCTGACTGGAAATTGAACCAGTAACCCTTTGGTTTGCAAGCCAGCACTCAATCCACTGAGACACACCAGTCAGGGTGGAAATGGGTAAAACATACTTCTTACTGAGGATCATGGTTAAAAATTTTTAAAATCCATTGTATGAAATGCTAGTATTTTCCCAGAACGTGATATCTGGAGGGAATCTTAACAGCACAAAGCAGAAAAGAGTGACCGACCTTTGATTTTTTTTTCACTGGAAACTTGTTATTATCAACAAAGGTTGAGGTAATAGCAATGTTCGGGGAAGATGTACCACATTACTTGGTCTATTAGAACTCAGTATATTGCCAGGAGGGGATATTTTTTAAGGTAGCCATTTTAGGACCTCTGTGAAGTATGGCAAATGAAGGCAAGCTGAGATTAAAGGTAAAATTGAAGACATTTTGCTGATGAGAGAGTGTAACCATCATGCTTGGTTCTGGGTTATCTAATGGGGTGATCTCCTGTGACTCAATTTATATAACTGAAATTTCAGTTTCTTTTATTAATATAGACAAAGATATTAAAATATAAAGTTTTCTAAGAGAACTCACTAAAATGTATCCTCCTGGAGTTTCAATACCCAATTAAGTTACTGAGCTAATATGTTTGAGTTACACCCAGTGCTCCATGCTGTTTTAGAGCCTGAGGCAAAATGAACACATGAGCCCCAAAGTACATGTTTTCATGGGATTTTTAGTGGTTGATTTTTCTTAGAAGTAAATTTTTTTAATTTTTATTTATTGATTTTTTTAGACTTCCTCCCACTCTTTTTAAAAAATTGATTTGAGCCTTGGTGTGGCTCAGTGGATTGAGCCTGCAAACCAAAGGGTCATTGGTTTGATTTCCCAGTCAGGGCACATGCCTGGGTTGCAGGCCAGGTTCCCTGTTGCAGGGCACACAAGAGGCAACCACACACTGATGTTTTTCTCCCTTTCTTTCTCCCTCCCTTTCCCTCTATCTAAAAATAAATGAATAAAATCTTTAAAAAAGAAAAAAATTATTTGAGAGAGAGACATCAATTTGTTGTTATACTTATTTATGCATTTATTGGTTGCTTTTTGTATGTATCCTAACCAGATATCGAACCTGCAACCTTGGTGTATCAGGACAATGATCTGGCCAACTGAACTAACTGGCTAAGGCCTACTAGTGACTCTTTTTCAGTCAAAAGATCACATGATTAAGATATGATATATCATGAAAATAGTGCTCCTAAATTCATCTGTATTATTCTCTAGTCGACTGGTACAGACTGAGAAAAGGCAACAACTTGCATTGCTTTATAAAAATATCAAGATACCATTATTAGGAGATGAAGAGAAGGACAGTGGCCAAGAAGAGTCGGGTTACGTACTTGCAGAGAATGAAAAGAACCTGGCAAAGTTCATTAATTCAGGTAGAGACTCGACCAGTTTATCTTGTCAGATCCAAAATCACATGAAAGTGAGCTGGCAATGATGGTTTGGTTTTCAAATGCAAAATTAATTGGGAGTTTATGGAACTTGAGGAAAGAAAGATAAATATTTCAACCACATCTACAGAGATGACCTGTTCTAATCACGTTGTGCAGAGTGGTAAACAACTGTATGGTTGCTTGGTTCCTTTTGCAGAGATGTTCCAAGAGTTGACAACAGAGTTCAGGAACAAACTTATTCCCAAACAAGACATTTCTCTTAAACATACTTATTAAAGTGACATTATTCCCAAGTTTAGAACACAGACAAGCAGATGTCCCGCCAGTACCTTGTGCCTCAATCTGATGTGAAAACTGGTCCAAGCCCACAAAACAAGAGGTCACTATCCCAGGTTCAGAGATTCCTGTTTTAGATATTCCTGCCATGACTGAAAGTCATTGTGAGGAGAGGGACACACATATGCTCGTATAAACCTGATTTTGTAGAAGTTCTGACATTCTTGGATACTTGCTTTAAAAATCTGTAGAGTGTGCAATGTCTAATTCAATCTTTTTTAAATTTTTAAAAAATATTTTATTTATTTTTAGAGAGATGGACAGGGAGGATGAGAGGGAGAGAAACATCATTGTGTGGTTGCTTCTTGCATGCCCCCCACTGGGGACTCAGCCCACAACCCAGGCGTGTGTCCTGACTGGGAATTGAACCAGCAACCAACCCTTTGGTTCCCAGGCTGGCGCTCAGTCCACTCAGCCACAGCAGCCAGGGCTAATTCAATCTTACTAATCACATACCCTGCATGAAGCTCCTCCCTAACAACCCCAGACACAAAAGTCAGAGAGATGCTCGGGGGCCAAGAGGAGAAATAACTGATACTTCCTGAGGCAGACAGCCCTTGTTAACCCTTAGAAAAGAATTTTTTCAATGTCTTTTCATGATCGAATTATAACTTTTCTACTTTTTTTTTTTTTTTTGCAGATTTTATTTACTCGTTTTTAGACAGAATGGAAGGCAGGGAGAAAGAGAGGAAGAGAAACATCAGTGTGTGGTTGCCTCTTGTGCACCCCCTACTGGGGACCTGGCCCATAATCCAGGCATGTGCCCTGACCGAGAATTGAGCTGGTGACCCTTTGGTTCGCAGGCAGGTGCTCAATCCACTGAGCCGCACCAGCCAGGGCTATATATTTTTTTTTTGTGTGTGTATTTATAGAGCTTGAATACAAACTCATAGACACAGACAATAGTATGGTGATTACCAGAGGGGAAGGGTGGTGGGGGGAGGTAGAAGAGGGTATGAGGGAATAAATGGTGATGGAAGGAGAGTTGACTGGGGCTGGTGAACACACAGTACCATATACAGATGATGTATTATAGAACTGTATACCTGAAACCTATATCATTTTTATTAACCAATGTCACCCCAATAAGTTCAATTAAAAAAAAGCTTCAGTACAGAAAATGGGACAATAATTTAAAAATTCAAATACAGAAAATGGGATAATTTAAAAATTCAAATTTTCACCATCCTTATCAGACCAGTAACACTCATTATGTCCTGAAAATTCCACTATTTGCATTTTTATTTTTCCATACTTTCTCCCTCAGCTCTTTTTCTCCATTTCTGTTTCTCATTTATTTGTATCTAAATAACATTATGTCTACATTTTAGTTATTATATGGAAAAGCAGACAACACTTTGAAAGGACAAGATTGAAGAGTGAACAACAGTTAGTAAATGTAATGAAATACTGAATGCTGTGCATCTTGAAAAAGTGGGAAATCTGTGAAAACAAATGAAAGAACTGCAGTATGTGCTTCCCAGTGTGGAGAAAACAATGGCAGGGATGTCAGACAGAGGACATACAAACTCTAAGGAAAGAATACTAGAAGTATGTAAGACAAAATAAATTCATATGATATAGCAATTCTTGTATCTTAGCTCTCATATTTCATGAATAATTGTAATGTAATTGGGTAGAGAAAAACCCAACTTCGTAAATGTGAAAAAGAATTGTCAATGTTTCTTTCCTTGATCCTAACCAGAAATACAAGTAATTTATTTGGGAAATATCCCAGACTATACCGGGGAGCCACTTAAATTAAACAGAACTGTCCCACTGTCTGCCATTCTCATAGCTTCTCTCCATTTACATGAGAAGACTAAGAATGCCAACTCAGTACCAGAGTAAAGGGGCCCACCTCACCATTCCATTGCTGATAATTTTCAGAGCAATTATATCCCAGGTTTCCAAATCAGGTGAAGGCCCAGAAAGTGGAGAAGTCAGGCTCCAGCACACCTCTGTGCCTTTAAAATCCATCAAAGTCTATGGCAAATTCATCTAGTCATTGGGAGGCAGCATTGCACATACTCCAGGGTTGGTATGGTGGAAATACACTACACACTCTATATGGACGCCAGCATGAAGAGACTGGATAGCCTTTTAATCAAGTATCAAGTAAAAAAGGAGAGGAAGAACATGAATCTTGTCGTCTAATGATTGTTGGTATGAATTCAATGCCAACAGGAATTTCCAATTTGGGGTGCAGTGAAGCAGGAACTTTATTCAATATAAAACAGTCCAAATGTGATGCAGCAGCGGTCAAAACAGCGCAGCTGTTGAATAGCTCTGGGGCCAACCAGCTGCTCTGTAGCTCAGTCCGGCAGCATGTACTGAGGAGCCAGAGGGGAGCTGGCTTATGTGGACAGGAATCCCTGCCCTTGTCCCCCATTGGCCTGTCCTCCAATGGAGGATTCCAAATCCTCGAAGTTTGGCCCCAAAGTCACTGTCCTATTTAATCAGACTAGAGCTGCTCTGTATGGCCAGAGCTGCACAGCTCTGTTGGGGAAAGCTTCAGTACTATTGGTTGAAATAGGTTTCTAGAACTCCACTCTAAGGGCTGGCTTAGATAGCAGGAACACAGTGCAGGCAGGCAGTTCAGTGCAGGCTTCTCTTTGCAGTCTGTGTGAGAGGACCCTGTGAAGAAATAGCTGCTGAGCTCTTTAAAAAAAAATTGAGCACAGCTATCGACCAAGAACCTATCTTAGTAGGTGTCTTCCCTCCCCTCTCCAGGGTTCACAGTCTTCATGTGCAGGCATACCTTAGCAAAATCATTGTGGTAGGCAGAATTCTGAGATGATCCCCAAGATTTCCACCCTATTGTGTTAAAAATTTATAAGCCCCTCCCTTTGCAAATATGACATGTCACTCTCTTGATTAGGGAAAGGTGGTAGGTTAGATGTTCTCTTAATTGTTACAAACTGGAGAGCTGTCTTCCCTAGTGTTTAAGGACTGGCTTCATGCAGGAAAAGACCTTCATTAACCAACCAAGTGTGAAGACCGAAGGCCTGGTCAGTCCTTTTCTGGGAGTGCCTGGTCCCTGGCAGGTAGGGTGTGTGTGTGTGTGTGTGTGTGTGTTTTCCCCAGTTCTGCAGTATATACAAAGTGTTTGTGCTAAATAGCTTGATTTTACTGAGGGGGTACAAAACAATAGTCATAAGTATTACAAATGGCAAAACAAAATGATGACCTTTAAAAACTTGCCAATTCAAGCCCTGGCTGGTGTGGCTCAGTTGGTTGGACCTTGGTCAGTTGGATTCCCCAACAGGGAGCATGCCCACTGGGTTTGTGGGTTTGAGCTTCTGCCTGGACAATGTTTCTCTACCTTCCTCTCTTCCTAAAAGCAATAGAAAAAATGTTCTGGGATGAGGGTAAAAAAAATAATAATAAAAACTTGCCAATTCAAGAATCCCCAAATTATCCCTAAATTATGTGATTGTGTCTTTTCACAGATATCACTAATAAACTTTCTAAAAGTGAGATCTTCCTTTTTTCACTATCCATTGATACCCAGAGGCAATTCTTCCACAATCTTCGAATCACTACACAGTCATTACTAATAATTTTCTAAAACAATTTTTAAAAGTGATGTTTAGCCCTGGCTGATGGGTCAGTGGATTGAGTGCCGGCCTACAAACCACAGGGCCACTAGTTTGATTCCCAGGTGGGGCAGGTGCCTGGGTTACAGGCCAGGTACCCCATAGGGGGTGGACAAGGCAACCACACATTGATGTTTCTCTCCTTTCTCCTTCCCTTCCCCTCTGTCTAAAAATAAATAAAATCCTTTAAAAAAAGTGAGGTATAATTGACATACAACATTATATTAGTTTTAGATGTATAACATGATTATTTGCATGCATTGTGAAATCATAAGTTGTTAGCATCTCTCACCTTACATAGTTACAAAAATTAAAAGCTTTCTATAATTTGCATTTTATAAGTGTTATTGTGAGATAATTTCAATTCCTCATGCGCTGTAGTCCCTTTCCAGCAATGAAATGCCGTCACAGTTTTGATACCAATGTATTTCCTCCACGAGTGGACACATTTTGTGACTGAATACAAAATAGGTGCATTAGGATCTCAAAATCTTTGGGAGCCTCTGACAGAATATGTTTAGCCTCACAACTTCACGGATTCTGAAATAAGATGTCTCCAAACACTTGACTGGTTTGATTGCAAACAGTAGTTCCCAGAAGTCTGAGTGCCACACTTTAAGAAGGAGCTAAGCCCCTCCTCTATCCTGGGAATCAGACTCTCTGGTTCCCAGTGTCCCTCGAGGCGGTGCGTGGCCTTTTCCACTGGAGGTTCGTGGAAGGCCGGTTAGCGTGGCCTGTAGATCTGGGAACTGTATTACCCAGATCGCTGCCAGACGTTGGCAGCGACGCCGACCAGTGAAGGTTCAGAAAATCTGCCTGAGCTTCATAATGTCGGTGGGCGTGCAGGCGGCACTTCCGGCCTCCTCTTTGTGGCGGGCAATTTGACATCTCTCAGGATCGACTCACTGCATCGGATGCTGCTCAGCCCTGCGTGGGCACCGGAGTCGCAGTGGTCCTAGCTGCACAGACTGGTGTGTGAAGGCTCGGCGACGCCTCCCAGGTGGTCTGCGCCAGCTCCGGAAGGAGGACCTCGGTGCCTGGCACCCCTTCCCCTGCCACTCAGAGTGGGATGGCCGCGGCTGCGCAAAGGCGTCCGCTGAGGTGCGTGTGCTTCCCCGGGGCCCTCTCCGGCTCATCTCACCGAGCCCTGCAGCCTGGACGGTGCCTGGACCGTGAGGCTCTCGTGGGTGACACACGGCATGACAGGGGTGGGAGAGGGTGACCGGTTGAGCGGCCACCTTGTGAATACGCGAAGGGGCGGCTGATCCCGGAGGATCCAGGACCCTGGGATCCTCCAGCCTGCGGGGAGCAGAGAGTGAGAGGCGGAGTAACAGCTGGGGTAGCAGGCTGGGCTTGTCTCTTATTGTGAGGACTCTAGAAGGTAGGGGGGCGGGGGTTTGAACAAAAAGACATGATCTCAGTTAGGGTTTTCCAATGTCCCCAGAAACCGTTCAAAGGAAAAACAGACTGGAGGGGCTGCTGAGTTCACTGAGACGCGGGGAGGTTGTTCTCTGTTCAGTTCAAACTGGATGGTAAGAGACCACAGAAGTTAGATGGCCAGCGAGACTGACTGAGGTCATCGGGCTCCAGGGCCAGGACAGGGAGGGTACAGGGAGGTATGAACAGATGGAACTCCTCCAGGGACCCGCATTTTTCTAAGGCCTCTTAATTAATCACAGGTTCCCCTAGTGCTTATGGAACCACAGGAAGTGCAGGGTGTCACAGACCCTCACTAACCCAACCCCCGTTTTGTGTTCTCTGGATTGTGGTTTCCTGGGATTTTGTTTAAAAGAGATTTTATTTACTTACTTTTAGAGATGGGAAGGGAGAGAGAAAGAGGGAGAGAAACATCATTGGTTGCCTCTCACTTGTGCCGCAACCAGGGAGTAGGCCTATAATTCAGGCATGTGCTCTGACCAGGAATTGAACCTGCGACCTTTTGCTTTGTGGGCTGACACCCAACCAACTAAACCACACTGGTCAGGGCTTTTTTTTTTCTTTAATGCAATTTTTCCTGTGATGGCATCAGAGCTCTTTATTCTTTATTTATTTTGATTAAAAAATTATTTATAGATTTGAGAGAGGAGGGAAAAGAGAGACAGACATTGATCTGTTGTTCCACTTATTTGTGCATTCATTGGTTGATTCTTGCACGTGCCCTAACTGGGCCACAGTGTGTACCTAACTGGGGATTGAACTTGCAACCTTGGCATATCAGGACAATACTCTAAACAACAGAACTACCATGCCAGGACAGTTTCCTTGGATTCTTAGTGCCAGTTTTCCAGTCCTTGAGTCTGAGGACCATGGAGAAACCATGGATAAAAGCCCAGGGTGTTGAGTCTATTTGTGTTGAGTGTTTGGACCCTTAACATTTAAATTGAGGGCATTCTTAGCAAAGCAAGTTTCAGAGGATTTTATGCATTCTTTCTCAAGCCTGATCGACCCCCTCCCCGACACACTGGAACCACTTGTTCTTGCACAGGGCTGCACCCCCCTTTGGCATTGTTTCAGGCCTGAATCACATGGGGGAAGCAAGGCAGTCAAGAGATTAGGAGACTTTTTACAGATAGAATGAAGATTCAGGCTATGACAAAGGCAAGGGGTGAGGGTCTTTTGTCCTTCCTCCATAATCCCTAAGTCCTTCTCTGATGGCCCCTTTGTTATTGTGCCTGTCTTAGGTTGTTCCTTCCTTGAGGAGTCTTATCCATCATTGACTATCCAGCCATCCTCCAGGAGCCAAGCAGGGTGAAGTAAAAAGGGGGCAGAGGCGGTGCCCCTGCCAGGAGGATAAGTTTTGTCTCCTTAGTGGCTTTTGGTCCCAAGGTCCCCTAGCCATGGGTCCTTTTCACCTGTCAGCAAGGTTACAGCTCCTGAAACCAGGCAGGACGGTTCCCAACAGGGAGGTGAGTTTGTTGTTAATTGATTTTACAGAGAGGAAGGAGGACAGAGAGAGAGAGAGAGAAAGACAGATAGAAACATTGCTCTGTTGTTCCACTTATATGTGTGTTTACTGGCTGATTCTTGTATGTATCCTGAGCAGAAATCAAACCCACAACCTTGGCATATCAGGAGGATGTGTTAACCAACTGAGCTACCCAGGCAGTGCTCAGATTCTTCTAGATCAGCGACTTTTACCTTTTTTTTTGTCTTGGCACACATAAACTAATTACTAAAATTCTACAGCATACCAAAAAATATAATTTTTCCCAATTTGACAAAGAAAGAAAGGATGTAATTTTGATTCATTCACACTGGATGGCTATTGTTGTGTTGGCTGTTGTCATTTTTTAATTTTGACAATCTAAGGGAAAAGAGGTCAGTTATTGCATGTTTTAAAAATTCTTGCGGCACACCAGTCAAAAATTACTGCTAGATAGTTAAGGGGATGGAGACAGAAGTTTCTCTTGAGCCCACAGGGTGTCAGTTACTTTAGCTCAGAATTTGCATATAATGGAGGCACATCTTGGAGTGGCTGGTTCTGAGCCTTCACACACATATGGCTCCATGTGGCTAAGTCTGATGCAAGGCATATAGCGAGACCATCATAGAGTGGTCTGGGGCTGCTATTGCTAATGGGAACCATGGGAAATTTCTGGTAATACTGGATCCTGTTCAAATTTGCTAAATACGCTCTTAGAGGTGGATGCTCTCTACCAAATTTTGTGGTTAAGTTCTAAAATTAAGGGAAATAGATGTGCTATCCTGATGTCTGGTGAAACCAGGATACCCTCAATCAGCCCTATTGCAAGTTTCTCTCCACACTCTGCTCTTACAGATACAATCTTGTAGCCTCACAACTCTTGTTAATAGGGGAGCAGGCGCAGTTCCTGCTAATCCCTTTGTAGTCGGTTTTAGTTCCCTACCAACCTGCAGAAACACTTAAACAAGTTGGTCACATCCTCCTGCAGGAATTGGGACATCTTACCTCTCAGTCTCACAAAGACGGCCTCTGGTTGTTCAGTCTTTTCTGGAGTGCAGCCTTCATGTGGCCTTGTGTGTTGTATAGTGTCCTTCTCTCCCAGGCTGCAAGTATGTGAGGTTAGTAAAGATGCTGATTGCATTTGTCCAGCATCAGGTGCTATGAGTGTGACCACACCTAGTGTGGGAATCACACCCTTACCAGTATGAGGAGCTAACTGAAATACAAATGTAGGGGGTGGACATTGATTGTAGTGGCATGGGCATGTAGCTATGGGATCTGGAGATATGAGGGGTATGCATTATAAAGAGTGATGTGTGGTTGCACAGGTAGCATGTCTGGTTGTCTAGGGCACTGCATTGAGAATAACATGGTAGTGGCCATACCAGGGGAATTGTCTGTGGATGGGGTACATCCTTCTGTGCTAGTCCCACAGCTTAGATACATAATTTGTCAATCTGCTTTTTGCTGCTGATGGCTTTACCCAGTTATCAATGGGCCCGTGAAGAGACAGCAGCACCAGTAATACAATGGCCTGGTTTCTCTGCATTAGATTGCTTAGCAGAAAGTGTACAGTAGATGTTGAGGTGGGAGGGATATATTTGGCTTCTCAGCAGAGGGGCTGTTTGTGGTTTCATCTTTTGCCATCATAGCAGGGCCATGTGACCTTTGAAGATGTGTTCATGTGCTTCTCCTGGGAGGAATGGAGGCTACTTGATGAGGCTCAGAGATGCCTATACTATGATGTGATGCTGGAGAACTTGGCACTTATATCCTCACTGGGTAAGATTCTCAGACTTTTTCTCATTACCTTAGTTACTCTCTGCCCTTTCCTTTGACTCAGAGACAAGCCTGTTTTTCTCACATAGGACCATGGACACTAGTTTGTCCCCATTCCCCTGGGTAGGTACTGTGATTAGTGGGGCCGACGTTTGTGCACTCCCCTCTTCTCGAGCAGCTGCTCAAGACACCTCCCCTATAGTCTTATATGGAGGGTGTCAGGGGCAGAGGTTTTACAGTCACCCTAATGGATCCCACTTTGCTTGCTCTCACCCTGGCCAAGCACCTGAGTACCCAGGTTCTGTTCCCTTCCTCTAGCTAACGTTTCCTTGGGCCTGTCTGTGCCAGAACATGCCATTGCTGATGTGATCACCACTTACGTGGGCCAAGGGCTATTCTTGCAAGACTCCTTTCAAATTCTGTGTATTTAGTTTTCTTTCCCATGGGCTATCATGTGCTGGCTTGGTCTTGGCTAGTGCTGTCTGTCTTTTCCTAACTATTGCATTATCTAGGTCTCATATCCTTGGTCATCTAGGGAGTGTGTTGGAGAGTCCTCAGTTATTCCCTGGCTGAATATGAGTTCAGGCTCAGCAAGATGGGCTCACAGGAAGCCTGGCCTTGAGGAGTGGCACCTGGGGGAGGGCATAATGTAAGTGCTGTGTTCAAATCATACCAGACACCTGTTCTGTTGGACTAGTGTTTTAGTGCCAGGGCCTGTGACCACACACTATTTCTGCATTTTCCTTGCCATTCTTACACTTGCTAACCTGTCAGTGCTATATATATACACCTTGTGACTTCTACACCTACATCCAGACCATAGCTAATCCTTACCTCTCTGGACCTTATGTCTCACCCATTTTTCTCACTGCTTCTTCTGCAGCTGTCTTCAATATGGGCTTACATGATTTGTTTTATGAAGAGTGTACTCATTCTTAAACAGTGTCTGACCAATAGCAGCTCTGTTACAATTCTCTTTGGAGAACCTGGACACAACCTTTTTCATAGCACTCATGTCTCCAGCAAACAAGGTCCTGTTGAAGGTTGTTTGCCTTGGAACAAAGTGTATGCCCTTTGTCACGTGAGGCCTCCTCCATCCTGTGATCTGTATAGACCAGTACTTCTAAACAGCCCCATCATCAACCTAAAACCTGGGTTTGTTAGACACACACATGCATAATAGCTGCCCCCTCCAACCAAAGTCAGCGTGCATTTCACCAGCATTTCTTGCTTTCAGGTTGTTGCCCTGAAGTGGAGTATATGGAGGCTCCTTTTGAGCACAGTGTTTCTGTACAGAGTGTCACATATCAGGACTTCCAATGTTGATCTGTCTCTCAAGAAGGCCCAACCCTGTGAAAAGTTTGGCTTGATCTTGAGTGACATTTTGCATTTTGCACTGAGCACCGGGGAACTCATGACAAGCAGAAACTGTACAGGTGTGATGTGTCTGGGAGAAAACTGCACATACCTTTATCAGAAGCAACACGTTAGACAGAAACCCTTCAGAAGCCATGTGAACAGAGCTTTGTTTGTGAAGAGCTGCAAACTGAATGTGGCAGGGAAGACACTTATCTTCAGGGAGACTGGGAAGGACTTCATGGCCAGCTATGAATTTCTTCAGCAACAGATCTTTTACAACAAGGAGAAGTCAAACAACAGAGCCAAGTGTGTGGCAGTTTTTCAGAAGGGAAAGGCTCAATTATCAACTCTCAACAACTGGAAAGAACACATGAAATCCTTCAGCCACAAACACATGCTTGTTCAGCACCAGAGAGTCCTCACTAGAGAAAGTTGTTTTATGTCCCATGGATGTGGGAAATTGTTTAGCAAAAGTGGTAGCCTCATTAGACATCAGAATTTTCACACAGGAGAAAGAGCTTTCGAGTCTGGGAAGTGTGAAACATTATTTAAAAAGTCCCATGATGTTGAACCCTGGAGAGGAAAAACCAGAGAAAGTCCTTATGAATGTACAGAGTGTGGGAAATCATTTACCAGAAACTCCCACCTTGTTGCACATAGGAGAGTTCACACTGGAGAAAGACCTTATGAGTGTGGTGAATGTGGGAAAATCATTTAAGTACAAGTCCAACCTCATTGTACACCAAAGAATTCACACCAGAGTAAAGCCTTGTGGATATAGTGAATGTGGGAAATCCTTTAACCAAAAATCTAGCCTTATTGTCCACCAAAGAGTTCACACTGAAGAAAGTCCTCATCAGTACAATGAATGTGGAAAATCCTTCAAACAAAACTCAAGTATCAGTTTCCATCAGAAAGTTCATATTGGACAAAGGCCTATTGAGTGCAGTGAATGTAGCAAATATTTTAGCTGCAAATCTAACCTCATTAAACACCTTAGAGTTCACACTGGAGAAAAACCTTATGAATGCGGGAAATGTGGAAAATCCTGCAGCCAAAGTTCAAGTCTCATTCAACACCAGAGAGTTAACACTGGGAAAAGGCCTTATGAATGCAATGAATGTGGAAAACCATTTAGCCAAATCTCTGCCTTCTGTTATCATCAGAGAGTTCACACTGGAGAAAGACCATTTAAGTGCATTGATTGTGAGAAATCCTTTGCTGCATACCTCATTAACCATAGGAGAATTCACACTGGAGAAAGGATTTTTAAGTGAAGCAAATGTGGGAAATTCTTGAGCTAAACCTCTTTGTTCTTTCTTCAATAGGTCACACTCAATAGTGGCCTTATGAGTGTGGGGAATGTGAAAAATCCTTTAGCCAAAACTCAAGTCTAAGTATACATCAGAGTTCACACTGGGAAAAGCCTTATGAGTGCAGTGAATATGAGAAAGCCTTCAGCTGTATCTCATTGGAAATCACAAAGTTTACGTAAGAAAAGGTTTAGATAGGCAGGGAATGTACTAATTCTTTTTCAATATAATGCTAAGGGAGATCCCTTTTGAAGGTGCCACCTGCCTATATTAAACTTCATACATTTGCACAGCTGCATAAATAGGTATATGGGAACTGCATTGCACTTTTTTTTAAAAAGATTTTATTTTTTAGAGAGAGAGGAAGGAAGGGAGAAAGAGGGAGAGAAACATCGATGCGTGAAAGAAACACCAACTGGCTGCCTCTTACCCACCCCCCCAACTGGAGACCTGGCCTACAACCCAGGCATGTGCCCTGACTGGAATCGAGTCAGTGACCTGTTGGTTCACGGGCCAGCGCTAAATCCACTGAACCACACTAGCCAGGGCTGCATTGCACTTTAAGTGCACAGTGCCATGGCCAGATTTATGTCACTGTCAGTTCTGTGCAAAAACCTTTTCACCTCTGCCACTTGGCTGGTGCCCTCACCCACCTCAGTGCATCCAAGGAAGGAAACCTTAGCATTCTCTCACACAGTGGAGCGATTTTTCAGAAGCCTGAGTGCTCATCTCTTCCTTTCTGATAAGTTGGGCCATGGAACTGGCTTATTTTTGGGTCAGACACTCTGCTGGTGACTTGAAAAGATGGACGACCTTTTACTGGAGTCTCATGTGGCTATTATGGTGGAATTTTTAATCCTCTTGTCCTGAACCTGAGAACAGCCTACCTCCTAGTGTGCTGGCTTGTGTGACAATGAAGGAAGGCTTTACTGTTCAAACTCATTCAAGTTTGGAATTCTATTTACTCTGTGGTGATTTGAAAATAAGTGAGTTCTCCCCTGGTTAGTGTGGCTTAGTGGATTGAGTGCCAGCCTGCAAACTAAAGGATCACCAGTTTGATTACCAGTCGGCACATGCTTCAGTTGCAGGCCAGGTCCCCAGTAGGGGCTGTGCAAGAGGCAGTCACCACACATTGATATTTCTCTCTCTCTTGTTCTCCTTCCCTCCCCTATCTCTAAAAATAAATAAATAAAATCTTTTTTTAAAGAAAGAAAACAGAATTTTATGCATTAAGTAAGAGATGAACCTATCAAAGAATGATTCCACTGCCTCCTTACTCTGCTGAATCCATATGTAAAATTATTCAAATATTACCGATTTAGTTTCAGTCCTGGGTATTCACAGGAGTATGCTTCTAGGTTCTGACCTAATAAGGATCTTGATGTGAGGGGGTCAGGTGGCCCACAGGCCCTGAGCTCTGCTGCCTTGAGGATACACTGTAGCCTACTGAAAGAAACCACCCTAGGCACCTTGCTCTCAGCCAGTGGCTGAGCATGGTTTGGTACCAGAGCTGGATGACTAGTTATAGTTGATATTTCCAAAACATGTATGTAATGGGTTGTCTCTGTTTAGCTATATAAGAGGATTTTCTTTTCTGCCTTTACAATTTATTTTTTTTTTTTAAGATTTTATTTACTTTCAGAGAGAGGGTAGGGGAGGGAGAATGAAACATCAATCAGTTGCCTCTTGCAGGCCCCCAACTGGGGACCTGGCCCGAAACCCAGGCATGTGCCCTGACTGGAAATGGAAGTGGTGGTCCTTTGGTTTACAGGGACCACACCAGTCAGGGCTGCCTTTACAATTTAATACATTGCCTGTGATGTACATTAAATTCTGGTTTAATGCTTATTCAATAACTAAAGTTTTCTATCATGTTTAGTGAAACGGGTCAGACATGAAACCAAATACCATATGATTTCAGTTATATGTGGAATTTAAAGAACAAACAGGCAAAATATAAACAGTCGTAGAGAGAAAAAACTGATGGTTACCAGATGGGAGGGGTGTTTAGGGTAGCTGGGTGGAAAAAGTGAAGAGATTAAGAAAGACAAGTTGCTAGTTTTGAAATAGACACCAGAATGTTATGTACAGCATAGGAAATATGGTCAATAATAATGTAATAGCTATGTATGATGCCAGGTGGGTATTGGAAATATCAGGGTTATCACTTCGGAAATTACCTAAATGTCTAGTCACTACGATATACACCTTAAACTAATATAAAATAATATTGAATGTCAACTGTAATTGAAAAAAACTTAAAAGTGTTTTCTGCCACTACTACCTTTGATGAGAGGGTTTCTGTGTTCCAAGATTTTATTTACCAGCATTCACCATCAAACACTGCCAGGAACAAACCTCAATCACCCATCTCATCAATATCTAGTGTACAGGACTATGGGGAAAGGAGACCAGTTCAACAGTCGCAGAGACTTAATAAACCACTCTAGCATGTGCCAAATTCTAATGAAAAAAATGACTCTGCAAATTCAACAAACAATAAGGAAAAAATGATAAAAACAGAACTTTAGCCCTGGCCTGTGTGGCTCAGTGGAGTGAGTGCTGGTCTATGAACCAAAGGGTCCCTGTTTGATCCCCAGTTAGGGCACATGCCTGGATTGCTGGGCGGGGGTGCGTGGTGGAGGTGGGGAAGGTGCTGGGGGGGGGGCGGTGCGTGGAGGCAACCGCACGTTGGTGTTTCTTTTTCTCCTGTCCCTTCTCCTCTCTAAAAAGAACTATTTTTTTTAAAAAATAGAAAACCCCAACATTAACATGTACAAAGAGGTGGCTTACCATTCAGTCTTGTAAAAATTTTCAACAATAGTACATTTGTTAAAGAAATAAGACAAAGGAAAAGTACCTTGAGCTTTTTTACATTACTTTTTTTCCAATTACAGTTAAAATTCATTATTATTTTATATTTGTTTCAAGTGTGCAGTGTAATGCCTAGACATTCATATAAGTTACAAAGTTACTACTCCGTAAGTCTAGCACCCACCAGACGCCATCAGTTATTAGAATATTACTGACTGTATTTTCCAAACTGTACTTTATATTCCCATGAGAACTCTGAGTACGTAGGAGCGGCAAATTGCCAAAGGCAAGTATTTAGAAACCACGTTTACCTTCAAGTTTGTTCAGAATGGAAAACAACCCACGAGGTGGCTGTAGTGCGTAGTGCGTAGGTACTACATTACCCGGAAGAATCCGCGTAGCGAGGGCGCATTAGCAGCCAATGAGGGGCTAGGTGAGGCATTTCTGAGGCGTGCGTAAGGCGTCCAGGCGGGACTTCCGGCCTGTTCGGCCAGGTGGCTATGCCAGAGGCCCTGATTCGGTGTTGGCACCTGAACGCTGGGTCAACCCTGAGGTGACAGCACCGAGAAGCCGTGGGTCGCAGTTCCCTCAGCAAAGACACAGGTCTGAGTCTCAATGACACCGTCCGAGTGACCCTCGCCGGGGCCTGGACGAAGATCGCGGTGCCCGGGGCAGCCTCCTCCCTCGCCGCTCCCACCCCGCTCCGCCCTCAGAGTCCGATGGCGGCGGCCGCGCTTCGGTGCCCTGCTGAAGTGAGTGTGCGGCCCCCGGGCCTTCGCCCCTCACCCCACCAAGCCCTGCATCCCGGGTGCGGGACGTCGGTCCCGTCCCGCAGCCCAGGCCCCGGCGGTGCGGAATGTGAGGCGCTCCTGGGTGACACACGGTGTAACGGGGGTGGGAGAGGGTGACGGGCTGAGGGGCTGCTAGGTAAAGACGCGCAGGGGCGCCTGAGCGGGGAGGATCCGGGACCCTGGGATCCTCCTGCCTGCAGGTAGCAGAGAGTGCGAGGCAGAGTGACAGCTGGAGTAGCACGCTGGCCCTCTATTTTATTGTGAGGACTCTAGAAGCCAGGCGTAGGGGGTATCAAACGTCCCCAAAGTCCGCTCAAAGGAAGATGAGACCGGATAGGGTGATGCGGACTTTGAGGCACTGGGAGGTTGAATCCCTGTTTCAAGATCTCAGTGCGGGTTAACAGGACAGAGCGCCGAGGTATGGAGGTGAGACAGCCAGCACGAGGTCATCGGGCTTCAGGATCAGGAAGGGGGCAGGAAGGGAGCTCTGTGAACCCAACCATGGACAGATTTCTCTGAGGCCTCCCTCTAGCACAGGTTCTCGTGCCTTCGGAAGTGCTTTTGGAAGCACAGGAAGTAGAGGGTGTTCCAGACCCTCGGTGACCTTGACCTCTACCTACCCACATTTTTCTCTGGATGGTTTTTTCTTAAGAGTCTTTTCTTTAAAATTATTTAAAATTGTAGTTCACATGAAGGATTTTTTTAGTTTCAGGTGTGTACAGCATAATGATTCAACAAATATATACCTACCTGGAGTCTTTTGTTTTAATCCTCACCCAAGGATATGTTTGTTGATTTTAGAGAGAACATAGATTGGTTGCTTCCCAGATGTGCCCTGGCCAGGGATCAAACCCACAATCTAGGTATGTGCCCTGACTGCAGGGCAGTGAAACCACAACCTTTTGGTGTACTGTACCATGCTACAACCAACTGAGTCACTCAGCTAGAGCCCTGCTTAGAGTCTTAAGTGCCATTCCTCCTGTACTTTGGTCTGGAAATCTTGGAGAAACCCCAGTCTTGGAGTTATAAGTCCTTGTCGGCTTTATACAGATCTGTTCCTGTAGGTGGCAACCAATGTAAAAAGTGTGGACGGTTATATCGTTATATAGGGAACTAGTACCAAGATATGCAGATGCTTACAGGTGTAACTCACCTGAGAGTGCTCCAGAAACCACAGCTCTGTCTTATTTTTTTAATGTGGGAACAAACAGCAGGGGTGCAGGAGTTGGGACTGGAATGGCTGCCCGAGAGTTGGATATGTATTCTGGAAGTAACTGGGAGTTTTGGATTAGAGAGAGGAGGTGGTCTTTAAAGGTCTTACCAGCCTCCATCTGGCTGTACAGTGGTAGCAAACTGTGGGGGTGAGGCAGGAGAAAATAAGGTCAGGCTGGAGGCTACTACTGACTCCAGCTGAAGATTAATGGACCAGAATGGTAGCTTAGCGAAAGTGGTTGGACTCTGGATGCATATTTGAAAAAGGGTCAACTAGACTTTCTAATGTAGAGGGAGAGATGGTGAAACATAGGATTCAGTGATGACCACTGTGTTCTGGACTTGTAGGAATAGATGCTCCATTATCCAAGTTGGGAAAGATTATAAAGGAGAGGAATTCACTGACGGTATCAAGAGCTTTGCTTTGGCCATGTTGAGAGGCTGAGGTGTTTCTGAGACCAAGTGCAGACATGGCTTGGGCAGCTGGACACACTGGTCTGGAAATCTGGGGAGGGTTCTCAATGAAAACATCCAAAATGTGGATACTTTGTGGACTCAGGTGAGTAAGCTGTGTTCACACTTAAAAGGGATGAAGTCAAAGCTATTAGAGGGGCAAGTTGAGGAAGGTAGAGTCTGTGAACTAGGTCACTTGCTTGAGTACCGGGTGGTAGTTTTCAGGTGAGGCAGTGAAGTGGTCATGAAGGAAGGACATGTTGAAGATTATATAGTCTGGCAGGTGACCAGGCCTTTCAAGGGAATATGCACATGAGATGGATGCAGAGGGAGTGATTGAATCAATATGACATTTAGGCCAGAGCTAGTGTTTTTTCTCCATGCTCTTCACCCAGCAAAATTTTGTGGCAATTTCGATGGGGCAAAGTGTTTCATTCATCCTGAAGGATTTAGCCAGGGGCACATAGGATCATCTGTGAGAGTCACTAGGCATGAAGTAGCCTTAGAATGAGGTTAGGTGAGCAGAGGAAGTTTTTACTACTAACAGACCGCAAGTGCAGCACACAAGTGGAAGAGGGTCATGGGTGTGTGTGTGAGATCCACACATGATTCTCTGTGGCTGAGTCTGAGGCAAGGAACCAAGGCAGACAGTGAAGGTTTAGTGGAAGCGTTTGGAGTTGCCACCACTCATAGGAGCAATGGGAGGTCTGTAGTGGTATTGGATCCTGTTTGAATTTGCTGATCTTACTCTGGACGTTGTCTGTTAAGTTGTAGTGTAAGACCTAACATGAAGTCCCAGTGTTACATGGGGCATCTGGTGAAACATCTGGTGAAACCTGGAGGGCCTCAAATGGCCTGCGTGCAAATTCCCTCCCCCACTCTAGCCAAGCAATTCTTTTTAGTGAAGATACCAGACCCAGTTCCTCCTTTTCCCTTTGTATTAGGTTTTAGTTCTCTACCAGCCCATGGAGTTATTCATACCAACCAGTGGCATCATCCTGCTGGAACCCAGGGGCATCTCACTGTCCCATTACTACAAAGCTTGCATTCTACATCCCTGGTTGTTCACTGTTTCTCATAGGATAACCCCATGACCCTGGCCAGTGTGGCAAAGTTGGTTGGAGTGTCATCCCATAACTGAAAGGTTGAGGGTTCAATTCCCAGTAAGGGCACATATCTAGGTTGCAATGTTCCGTGCCCCATCCCAGTGCACATACGATCCTCAGATGGCTGCTTATGGGAAGCAGCCAATCGATACATCTCTCTTGCATGGATGTTTCTCTCTCTAAAAAGCAATGAAAAAATATCTTCAAGTGAGGGTTAAAAACGACAACAAAAAAAGTTATAGTACAACCCCATGTAGCCCTGTGTGGTGTCATCCCCTCACAGACTGTGAATGTATGTGATCAATTAAACTGCTGACCATCTCATCTCTCTAGTGCCAGGTGTCATATGTTTGGTTTTTCCTATAACCCTAGGGCAGGATCCTATCCCCAGCAGTGTGGTGAGAGGAGAGGTCATTAAATTATAGCAATGTGGGGAGACTAGGGAAAAGGCTATGGTATGGGGCAATGTGGTGGTGGTGGCAGTAGGCCTGTGGCTGTGCTGTCCATAGGTGTGATAAATGTACAGCCTAAAGACTTGCGTGCTCTTGGAGCAGAAGTATGTTTGATGGCCCCAGAGCCCTTGTATTGACACTTGCATGACCTTGGCCGTCTCAGAGGAATTGCCTGGTGGGAGCTGGTGGAATCCTCTATTCCACGCTCACAGATATCTATTGGTTCACCTGCCTCTTGTTACTGATGGCTGGACCTCAAGACCAATGAGTTCCAAAAGTGTCCTTGCCACTAGGGTTTGGTTTTTCTGCTGAGTTAAGGAGTTTAGGATAAGAATGGGCATGGGTCAAATAGAAGAGGAAAGGGATTGTAGGCCCTTAGGAAGGGGCTGTTTTTGGTTTCATCTGTCCCCATTATGATAGGGCAGTGTGACCTTTGATGACGTGGCCGTGTACTTCTCCTGGGAGGAATGGGATCTCCTTGATGAGGCTCAGAGACGCCTGTACCAGGATGTGATGCTGGAGAACTTGGCACTTATAACCTCCCCGGGTAAGATCCTCACACCCACCCCTGTCTTCTGAGCTAGTCTGTGCCCTTTTGTTTTCCCCAGAGAGGACTGCTTGTCTCACATAGGACCATGAGCACTGCTTTCTTTCACAGTTTCTTGGGTAGGTGCTGTGATTGATTGGACTGAGGTGTGTGTACTGCCCTTTTCTTGAACATTCCCAACATCTGCTTCCCCTAAGTTTACCATGGAAGGTTCCAGAGTCAGTCATCTTGCAGTCACTGTATAGATTCCACCATGCTTGCCGTCACCTTAGCCAAGCAGATTTGTTCAGATTCAAATCAACTCTACCCAAGGGCTGACTTCTTTCCTCTTGCTAACATTTTTTGATTCCTACCTGAACTAGGAATTATCATCAGTTACATTGTCACTGCATGTATGATTCATGCAGTGTTCTTGTAAGACCTTCTTCAGAAGTTGTCTTTGTAGTATGTAGTTTTCTCTCCTAAGGCTGTCATGTGTTAAGTTCTTAATTTCCTCTCACTTTTTCTTCCCTGAGTACTTGCATCATGTGGTTGCCATGTAGTTGCTCATCTTGGGAGTATGATGAGCCGTTGATGGTTCTCAGGGTGGATATGAGTCCACCCATAGAAAGATGGGCTCAGAGGGAGCTTGGTCCTGGGGAGTGGCACCCTGGGAGAGGGCATGATGTCCAGGATTGTATTGAAACCATACCACCACCTCTTCTGTTGGACTCTTATCTTGGTTCTCAAGGTGGTGGCTACATTTTATTTCAGCCTTTCCACCTCCATTTTGACACTTTGCATACTGATAATTCTTCCATATGTCACTTCTCTTACACCCAGCCTGTAGGTTCATCCTTACTTGTCTGACTCCACATTATGCTGCTCCATTGTCAGTGTTCTCCAACATTGCCTTTTGCATATTATATCATGATGTGCACACATACTCTTACGTAGTCATTGAACACCTGCTGCTTTGGTGTAGTTGGATATTTTTTATTCATACCTGAGGAGATTTTTTCATTAGTTTTGGACAGGGTTTGGGGGGAGAGAAAGAGAGAGAGAAATAGTGATTGGTTGTCTCTCATAGGCTCCCCAACTGGGGACTGAACCCACAGCCTAAGCATGTTCCCAGGCCGGGATCGAGTCCATGACCATTTGGTGTTCAGGGTGATGCTCCAACCAACTGAGCCACATTGGCCTGGATATGCTTTACCCTGGACACACCCTTCTGCACAGCATTCATGGGTCAGCTGTAGATAAGATCCTGTTTAATGTTTTCAAATAAATAAGTAGTAGCCCTTGCCTTCACTTTGTGATACCTCCTGCCCCATTTGTGCTCTTTATAGCCTAGTACTTTCCTACTCAGCATTCAGGTGTTACCCACCAGCAGATAGGTCCTGCTAAAATTTGTTTACAGAGAAATGAGTTGTAGATCCTGTCTTTCCTCCCTGTGCTCTGTACTTGGTGGTGTCGTTCACTTCATGAGGCTTCCTACAGTCTGATTTATAGCCCAGTACTGCTAAGTAATCCTCGCCTGAACCCAGGTCCAAGTTCCCGCACACATTGCATGGACTCTCCTGATTGTGTCAAACACTCACTTGTATCCAGGCTGCCCCTCCTGCCACAGTCAACATGCACTTTACCAGTGTTTCTTTTCTTTTAGGTTGTTGGTATGGGGCAGAGGATGAGGCACCTGAGCAGAGTGTTTCTGTAGAAACAGTGTCACAGGTCAGGATTCCCAAGGCAGGTCTGTCTTCCCAGAGGGCCCACCCATGTGACAAGTGTACCCCGGTGTTGAAAGACATTTTGCTCTCAGCTGAACATCAGGGAATGCATCATGGACAGAAGCTGTGCAGGCTGGGCCCATGTGGGAAACAACTATATTTCAGTGCAAACCTCCCTCAGCACCAGATGCAAAACATTGGAGAGAAACCCTTCACAATCAATGTGAACAGAACCTCCATTGGGAATGACTACAAATTTCACATGTCTGGGAAGCCCTTTACCTGTGGGGAGATTGGGAAGGACTTCTTGGCCACTTCAGGATTTCTGCAGGTACAAACCACTAATACTGAAGAAAATTCAAACACCGGAACCAACTCTGTGGCACCCTTTCCCAAGCGAAAAACTCACTCTCAAGAATGCATGAAAGCTTTGAGATACAAACACAAAGTTATTCGTCACCAGAGAGTTCTCAGTAGAGAAAGATGTTACATATGCAGTGAATGTGGGAAATCCTTTAGCCAAAGCTACAGTCTCATTAGACATTGGAGAGTTCACACAGAAGAAAGGCCCTATGAGTGCAGGGAATGTGGGAAATCCTTTAGCAAAAGCTGTACTTTCAGTAACCATCAGAGAGTTCACACTGGAGAAAGACCTTATTTATGTAGGGAATGTGGGAAAACCTTTACCCATAGCTCTAATCTCATGAAACACCAGAGAGTTCACACTGCAGAAAGGCCTTATGAGTGCAAGGAATGTGGGAAATTCTTTATCTACAGGTCCATTCTCTTAGAACACCAAAGAGTTCACACTGGAGAAAGGCCTTATGAATGCAGTGAATGTGGAAAGTCATTTAGCCAAAGATCCCACCTCAATAACCATGGGAGAATTCACACTGGAGAAAGGCCATATGAATGCTGTGATTGTGGAAAATCCTTTAGCCATAGCTCTAGCCTCATTAAACACCAGGTAGTTCACAGTGGAGAAAGGCCATATGAGTGTGGGGAATGTGGAAAATCCTTTTACCAAAATTCTGGCCTCATTCAACACCAGAGAGTTCACACTGGAGTCAGGCCTTACGAATGTGGAGAATGTGGAAAATTATTTAGTAACAAGTCTAACCTCAATAAACATTGGAGAGTTCACACTGGAGAAAGGCCTTATGAGTGCTGTGAATGTGGGAAATCTTTTAGCCAAAGCTCTAGTCTCATTCAACACCAGAAGGTACACACTAGGTAATGGCCTTATGAGTGATGTTATAAATTAAATGTTTATGTGCCCCACAATTTGTTTATTGAAATCCTATCCCCTAATGTGATAGTATTAGGAGGTGAGGTCTTTGGGAGGTATTTATCATGAAAATTGGTCATTAGGGTAGAACCATCATGAGTTTGGGATTAATGTCCTTATAAGAGGAGAGAAAGCTTGCTTCCTCTATCTGCTATGGAAGGACATCTTTGAGAAGATGGTCTGTGAATTAGGATGCTGGTCCTCACTGGACACTGGACCTGACCACATGGGGACCATGATGTCAGACATCCAGGCTTCAAAAGTGTGAGAAGTAAATTTACATTGTTTATAAGCACCCCAGTTTATTATATTTTATAGCAGCCCAAGCTAAAACAAATATGGGTAATCCTTTAGGCAAAGACACAGTCTCATAAAAATCAGAGAATTCACAGTGGAGCAAGGCCTTTATGGGTTTAGTGAATGTCACAATCCCTTTAGCCAGTCATCTGTCTTCATTCCACACTTCAGGGTTCACACTGCCCACAAGCTTTAAAATAGCAGAGAATGTGATATTTCTTGGCTTAGGATAATTACACTGGGGAAGAATTCTTGTGAGGCAGTTGTTTACGTGGACTGAACTTTGTTCATCTGAATGTCCACAGTGGGGTGATTTCCCGTATGTCCCAGCTATTTGGAAAATGTTCAGAAACTGCATTGTGCTTTCTAACCTCCCTGGACTACTGGCTAGATTTCAGTCACTGCCAATTTCTGTGGCAGAAGTAATTTCACCTCTGCCACCTGGCCAATCCCCACAATGTACATCAGTCACCACCCCCACATGGTTAGGGAAGCTGCTTTGTGTTCTTTCATTGCTTATGGAAGTGATAGGTAAATGGAACCCACAGGGATGCTCATTTCCTCCTAACTTAGGGCATGGATGTGACCCAGTGTTGGCCCAGAGTACTTGATCTGAGTTCTGTTGGTGTCTCGCAAATAAAAACTACATTTCTTAGGAGTATTGATGGTGTCACATGAGGCTTGTCATAAGTCTTTGCAGTTTTGAAGTCACCAACCTAGGACTTGTGTGCCACACTTTCTTTGGCTTATACAATAGTAAAGATCCTTTGGTTTAATTACTTTTAAATTTGGCGTTCTTTTACTTGTGGGGTGATTTCAAAGTAGAATCAAGGTCTGCCATCACGAAGGGGTGAACAGATTTCATTGGATCCCAAGCTTTGAGTTTTAAAGAAGTGAGTATAATTGCAAATGAATGAATGAATAAAGCTGTCCAATTTTCGTCTTGCATTATGAGCCAAAGCCTTTGTTGTGGGCTGAGTTGTGTACTCCAATATTCCTATGTTAAAAGTCTTCACCCTCAGCACTTCAAAACGTGACTATGTTTGGACATAGCATTTTGAAAGAGATACCAGTCAAACCTTGGTTCTCCAAAGTCTTCCCTCTTGAACAATTTGATTCTTCACCAAGTTCATGGGAAAAAATGTCTCATTTATCAAACAAAACTTCGATTCTTGTCCCAACAACTCTTTCATGCTGATCATGTATAATCAGTCACATGTTTCTCAGGCAACACATGAAAGAATGCATGAGTTTGAGTATGATTTCGTTTTTGAACAAATTGCTTTTCGACCTGCCTTCTGGAACGAATTAAGTTCAAGAACATAGGCTCTACTGTACTACATTAGCATGAAATCATTAGGGTAGACTCTTGGGCAGTGTGAATGATGTCCTTAATAAAAGGGTTGAGGACACACACCCACAGAAGAAAGACCACCTTCTGCAAGCCAAGGAGAGATCCTCAGAGGATCTCTCAACAGGGTTGGTTTCTAGATTTCTAGACTCTATATGCATGGGAAAATAAATTTCTGTTGTCTAAGCCACCCAGTTGGTAGTACTTTGTTTTGCCAGTTCTAGCTGACTAACGCAGCCTCCTAGGATACATATCTTAGCTTTGTGGTCTGGATGCCAAGATTTTTGTGTGTGTGTGTGGGATCAGGTCATCCTGAAGAGGAAGCAATTGTGACAACCTCCAGTGCTTCTGGAAACACCATGGAAGTTTTGTTTGTTCACACTTTATTCAATGCCAGGTGAAGTTGAATGGAGTCTTTCCCAGATCATGCAAAAGAACTGTGTCCCATGATATACAGAATTCACTTGTAATACTGCAGGGGCGGGGGGGCCGTAATTGGTAATCCTGAAGACTGAATTAATAGGAAGTGGAGGAGACTCAGCTACATAGATGGAATGTACTGCTTCTAAAAGTTCATCCACATATATTCCAGGGATGTCAGGAACTCTCCAGCCTTCACACCCATATATCTTTTGTGACAGATCATTGTCAGGTAAAACAATCTTAAGGTTTTTGGAGTTCTGTTCTCTTCCTGGGCTATCCATCTCATCAATGCCATTGCTGTGCAGGCAGAAAAGCAAGGATAAAGAGAAGGGAGATCTCACAGTCCAGGGATGTGGCTTTTGTGACCCAGCCCAGCCTGTGTTCTGTTGACACAAGAAATAGCCTTCATTGCTAACCAGCTGACACCAAGGTTCTGGCTAGGATGAGAGAAGAATTTGTAGAGTCAAACACTTACTGTCCTGGCTGAGTGGCTCAGTTGGTTGGAGTGTCTAGTCCCATACACCAAAAAGCTGCAGGTTGGATCCTTGGTCAGGGCACTGACAGGAGGCGGCCTGTTGATGTTTCTCTCTTACCCTCTCTCCCCGCTCCCTTTCTCCCTCTGTCATTCCTCCTCTCTTTCTCACCATCCCCTTCATTTCTAAGATCAGTAAACATATCCTCAAGTGAGGATTAGAAAATAATTATAGCCCTGGATTGTGTGGCTCAGTTGGTTTGGTGTTGTCCTGCTAACCCAATGGTCACAGGTTTGGTTCCTGGTCAGGACACATGCCTGGGTTGCAGGTTTGGTCCCCAGTTGCAAGAGGCAACTCATTAATGTTTCTTTTGCAGTTCGATGTTTCTTACCCTCTCTTTCTCTGTCCCTTACCCTCTCTCTATAATTGATAAAAGAACAACTGTTTTTTAGTTATGAAAGTAAACAGTTACCAAAGCTTATTTTTCTGGAAAGAGAGGGAGATTGGGATTTTTATTTTGAACAGTTTTTAAAGGATTATAACGGTATAGTTGACCTGCACTAAATATTTAAAACTTATAATTTATTTGTTTTCCCCTTAGGAACCTGTGGACACATCATAACTAAGATAATGAACTTCTGTCACTCACATATTTGCCTCCTGTCCTTTTATAATCTCTCTCCATGCTCTCCTGGGTCCTCCCAGCAATCATTGATTTACTTTCTTTACAGGAAATTTGCATTTTCTAGACTGTTATATGATTGTAGTCATAAAGTGTTTATTCATTTTGCCCCCCCGAGTTCTTCATGCACAATCTTGTTTTGAGATATATCAGTGGTGCTTATATGAGCAGTTCATTCTTTGTATTGCTAAGTACTATTTTGTTCTTTGCATATATACCACTATTTTTATCTATTCATCTGTTCTGGAGCACTTGGGTTATTTCCAGTTTTGGACTATTGTAAAAAATTCTTCTCTGAACATTTTCATTACATTTGTTTTTGTGGAGAGATATTTTATTTCTCTTCTGTTACAACTCAAAGTGTATGCCTAACACACAGGGTGGGTAAGTGCTAAAATTTTTTAAAAATTGCAGACTGTGATCTAAAATTGTTGTTTCTGTTTACTTCCCCACCAGCAGTGTATGAGTCCTCATTTCCTCCACATTCCTGCTAGTACTTCATATGGTCAGTCTTTATTTTTTAATTTTTATATGGTCAGCCTTTCATGTTAACCATTTTAGTAAATGTATAGTGCTCAGTGTGGTTTTAGTTGCTTTCCTAGGATTTGTGATTTTGAGCATTTAAAAATTTTTAAATTTATTTTTAGACAGAAGGGAAGGGAGAGAGGAAGAGGGAGAGAAGCATCAATGTATGGTTGTCTATTGTGCACCCCCTTCTGGGGACCTAGGCAGCTTGTAACCCAGAACATACAAGGGGAGCTTCTAACCCAGGCATATGCCCTGATTGGGAATAGAAGTTGCGATCCTTTGGTTCCCAGGCCGGTGCTCAATCCACTCAGACACACCAGCCAGGGCAACTTTGGGCATTTTCTCATGTGTTAATTCACCACCAATAAATTCCCCAATTGTAAGAAATTGAAACATAAGAACATCCGAACACAGCCTGCTGGGCTCTCTCAAATGAAGCATCTTCTTAAATTATAGCCAATCCAATACTTTTCTTTTTTTTTATAGTATTTTTCATCACCATTCATCCCCCATCTCCCACCTTCACCTCCCCCATAATTTTCTTGCTTTGCTGCCCCTCCTTCTTTTCTTCTCTAGAAGAAAATCCTTTCTTCTGGTTCAGTTTGGTGCCACCTGATTAAAATTTGTTTGCCCAAAGTCTTCAAAATTTTAATGTACTTTCAATCCCCACCCCTGCTAAATACTGCCAGGGCCCATCCTTTTTTATGGTGCTCTTAGGAAGGAGGCCTTCCTCACTGCTCATCCCCTCTTCTCAGCAAAATCACCTTTCATGATTTCATGATTTCATGGCACCTTCCCCATTCGAACATAATATGTATTTAGTATTTCTTCTTTCATATTTCCTTTGGTATCATAGAACTAGAAGAAGGTAGGGCTATTCGTTTCTCTTGTGGCTGAATTTCTCCCATGCACCTGCAGAAAGTCCTGGTAAACCCAGTATATGCCCAATGAACATTTGTTAGAGCAGTGAATAAACATGACACTTCACTTTCCTTCTATTTCATTTCATTTCGTTTCGTTTCATTTCGTTTATTTCCTTTCATTTTCTGGATACTCTAAATGTTCTTTTAACTCTTTCCAAATTAGTATTGCTCAATGTTTTCAGGACTGAAAAAGAGTCACATTGTGCAGACAGAATGCAGTGATCAAGGTTCTAGCACAGTCACATAATCAGCTCGATGTTACCTTTTCTCAGACTTTAGGAAGGCTTGTTGGAAAGACTACGTCCTGGAGTTTGAAATGACCACCCTTCGCTTGTTTGACTGAGGAGCAGATCCCCACCCCGCCGCCCATGGTGGGTGTCATTGCTAACTTTCTCTTGGTACCACTTGGCAAATGCTCTGGTCCTCAGAGAGAACACTGTTCCTGCAACCCTCTGGAGCTCCCGGAACTACATTACCCCTCACGTACACGCCGAAATGAGTCGATGACAGGTCAATAGGAGGTATTTCCTTGAGAATGTATTGCGTCGGGGCGGGACTTCCGGCGTTCTTTCCGTGGCGGGATTTTTGTCTTCTCTCCGGCGGCTCACGTACCCGGTTAGAGGCTCCGAAACGGAGGGTCGAGGTCGAGGTGTCAGGACCGAGTAAGCGCGAGAGTCATTGTTACCGCCGCGCAGACGCGTGTGCGAGGCTCTTCGACGTCGCCTGGGTGACCCGCACGAGACCTGGACAAGGATGAGGGTGCCAGTGCCACAGTCGTCCTGCCCCACCCACCCTCGGCTCCCGGCCCGGCTCCGCCCACGGAGTCCCTTAGCGGGCCTCGGGGTCCTCCCCACTCACCCCACCGAGCGCTGCAGCCCGGGAGCGGGCAGCCTGTCACGTCCTGCAGCCGAGGCCCCAGCGTCCCAAACTGTGAGGAGCTCGTGGGTGACACAGGGTCTGATGGGGGTTGCAGAGCTTGATGGTCTGAGGACCACGTGTGAAGATGTTCAGATGTTCAGATGTTAATGGGCCGCTGATCCGACAGCAGGTCTTTATTATTTTCTTTAGGGGCAAGAAGGAGCAGGCCCAGAGTCAAGTTCCAGAGGTGGGCCATGTGTCTTGGAGGTAATGAAAGGTTTGAATTGGGGGAGGATGGTGGCCTTTTTGAGGCGCTAGCAGAGCAGAAGAACGGTGGGGGAAGGGAAGAGGAGCACAGGAGGCAATTACCACTCTCGCCTGCTTCCGGGTTCATGGACCACAGCCTTGGCAGGTGGGAAAAGTGATTAAAATGGTTCATGTTGCATCCAGCAAACGCGAGAACAAATGTTGGAGACTTTCAGGGTATCAAGGATGTTACTTTATTGGCCAAGTTTAACCTGCGCAGGGGCGAACTCTCATAGTGTCCAGACACACGGTACCCACAAGGGGCTGCAAACGAGAGAGACACGCGGAGCGCTTACAACTACGTCCTTATATAGGGGCGGGCAAGCAAGTGTTATGCAGAAGCAGAAGCAGTTAGCAAATTCACTTACAAAGACCGCCCACGGGAATTTCAAACCAAGCATTCTTGCATAAGGTGGGAAGGCAGGATGTTTGTTCATTAACCTAGTAATCTCCTGGCTCTAGCTAGCTAGGTTCCTATTTTCTCCTGGTCTAAGTTTTTCCCTACTCCTTACAGTTCACAGGAGGGGAATGCAGGTTGTGCCAATGCTGCTGGTAGGTCAGCAAGAGGAGGGTTGCCCTGGCTCGTGTAGCTCAGTGGGTTGAGCACGGGCCTGCAAACTGAAGGGTGGTGGTTCCATTCCCAGTCTAGGGCCTGTACCCGGATTGTGGGTCAGATCCCCAATAGCGGGCACGTAAGAGGCAACTACTCATTGATATTTCTCTCCCTCCCTCCCTGCTCTCTAAAAATAAATAAAATCTTTAAAATAAATTTAAAAAAAGAAAGAGGAGGGTGCATGCTGAGGAGTAGTGGTTGTTTAATTTTTTTTTATTAATTGATTTTAGAAAGAGAAAAACATCGATTTGTTGTTTCACTTATTTATGCATTCATCAATTAATTCTTGTATGTGCCCTGACCAGAAATTGAACCCACAACCTTGACATATCAAGATGACACTCTAACCAACTGAAGTACTCAGCCAAGACTATAGTACAGTATGACTAGCTGTAGTCACCATATTGTACATTAAATCCTGATAACTTATTCATCGTATAAATGCAAGTGTGTACCCTTTGACTAACATGTCCTTATTTCCCCCGTCCTCAGCTTATGCCATTCTACTTTTGGTTTCTCAGTTGACTTTTTTTTTCTTTTTTAAGGTTCTCCATGTAAGTATCACCATAAAGTATTTGTTTTTCTCTGTGTGGGTTATTTCACTCAGCATAATGTCTTGCTGGTTCATCCATGTTGTTACAAGAGGCAGTTTTCCTGCTGTTTTTTAAAGTAAATTTTTTTAAAGATTTTATTTATTTATTTTTAGAGACAGGGGAAGAAAAGGAGAAAGAGAGGGAGAGAAACTCACGTGGCCCCCACTGGGGATTTGGCCCACAACTCAGGCCTGTGTCCTGACTGGGTATCAAACTGGTGACCCTTTGGTTTGCATCCGGTGCTCAATCCACTGAGCTACACCAGCCAAGGCCTTTCCTACTTTTTTTATGGTGACATAATGTTGCATGCATGTATTTGTGTGTGTTTGTATATCTCTGTGTGTTCTTACCACATTTACTTTATTTGTTCATGCAGTGATGGACACAGTTTGTTTCCATAAACTGACTATTGTGAATAATGCTGTAATAAATGTGCACATGCTGATGTATCTTGCCAGTACTGATACTGTTTTTTTAGGTTATACACAGAGGGACCCCCAAAAATGAAATTATATTCTGTAGGGTAGGCCCCTTGCAGCAGGCTTCCCTTGCCAGGTGAGTGTTCTAGAAACCCATCTGTATTAGCATACCAGCTGTCATTGTTGTGAGAGGCTGCATTCAGCTTCATTGAATTATTTTTTGAAGATTCTTTCAAACATCTGTCCATTTCATGATGGGTGTTTTATGAGTGCAGCTGCCCACACTGCGCTGAGTATTCAGCAGTTTTTGACCAAAAAAACTGCATAACTGCTGTGCCCCACCCTCATTCACCCAGTCTTACCCTGAGTGACTTTTTTTGTTTCCCTGGATGAAAAGCCCTCTAAGAGAAATGTTTTGCCAATGTGAAGAGAGGAAACAAAAATGGCAGAAGCATTAAAAGGCATTCAAAATAAACAAGTTCAAAAACTTTTTTTAAAAAATTTATTTATTTTTAGAGAGGGAAGGGAGGGAGAAAGAGAGAGAGAGAAACATCAATGTGCGGTTGCTGGGGAACCATGGCCTACAACCCAGGTATGTGCCCTGACTGGAAATCGAACCTGCGATACTTTGGTTCGTACCCTGCGCTCAATCCACTGAGCTATGCCAGCCAGGGCTAGTTCAAAAACTCTTTGAGCAGTGGGAAAAAAGTCTCAGTAGATGTATTGCATCAAATGGAGAGAACTTTGAAGGTGACTGAAGTTTAAACATGTAAAAATAAATGCACAATTTTTAATAAATAACTTCTGGTGGTTTTTTAGGGGGGGTCCCCATCATATATCCTGAAATGTAATGGGAATAGTGTATCATACGTTAGTTCTATTTCTTATTTTTTGAGGAACTTCCATAAAGATTTTTCATAATGACTGCAGTAATTTACATTCCCTGCAACAGTGTTCAAGGGTTCGCTATTCTCCACATTAATTTGATGTCACCCCACTTGTTTATTTTTGCTTTTGTTGCTTATCCTTTTGATGTCATACTCAAAAAAATCATTGCCAAGAACAAGGGAAGGTGCCTTTTCTCCATGTATCCTTTTAGGAGTTTTATGATTTCAGATCTTAAATTATTTTTATTTATTTTTTCTCTGTCAACACAGATTTCTTTCTTTCTTTTTTTTTTAAGTTCTAGGGGAGATTTTTTTAAAAAGATTTTTTATTTATTTATTTTTAGAGAGGGAAGGGAGGGAGAAAGAGAGAGAGAAACATCAATGTGCAGTTGGTGGGGGCTGTGGCCTGCAACCTAGGCATGTGTCCTGACTGGGAATCGAACCTGCAATGCTTTGGTTCACAGCCCACGCTCAATCCACTGAGCTACGCCAGCCAGGGCTACAGATTTCTTTTTTGAATATATTTTATTGATTATGCTATTACAGTTGTCCCATTTCCCCCCACTTATTCCCTCCGCCCTGCACACCCACTGCCACCCACATTCCACAACTTTAGTTCATGTCCATGTGTTATAAATATAAGTTCTTTAGCTTCTACATTTCCTATACTATTCTTAACCTCACCCTGTCTATTTTGTACCTACCATCTATGCTACTTATTCTCTCTGCCTTTTCCCCCTCTCTCCCCCTTTTACTCCCCGATTGATAACCCTCCATGTGATCTCCATTTCTGTGGTTCTATACCTGTTTTAGTTGTTTGCTTAGTTTGCTTTTGTTTTTGTTTTAGGTGTGGTTGTTAATAACTGTGTTTGCTGTCATTTTACTGTTCATATTTTTATCTTCTTTGTCTTAGATAAATCCCTTTAACATTTCATATAATAAGGGCTTGGTGGTGATGAACTTTAACTTGACCTTATCTGAGAAGCACTTTATCAGCCCTTCCATTCTAAATGAAAGCTTTGCTGGATAGAGTAATCTTGGATGTAGGTTGTTGCCTTTCATGACTTGGAATATTTTTTTCCAGCCCCTTCTTGCCTGCAAGGTTTCCTTTGAGAAATCAGCTGACAGTCTATTGGGACCTCCTTTGTAGGTAACTGTTTTCTTTTCTCTTTCTGCTTCTAAGATTCTCTCCTTATTTTTAATCTTTGGTAATGTAATTATGATGTGCCTTGGTGTGTTCCTCCTTGGGTCCAACTTCTTTGGGATTCTCTGAGCTTCCTGGACTTCCTGGAAACCTATTTTCTTTGCCAGATTGGGGAAGTTCTTGATTATTTGTTCAAATAAGTTTTCACTTTTTTGCTCTTCCTCTTCTCCTTCTGCTACCCCTATAATTTGGATGTCGGTACATTTAAAGATGTCCTGGAGGTTCCTAAGCCTTTCCTCATTTTTTTGAATTCTTGTTTCTTCATTCTTTTCTGGTTGAATGTTTCTTTCTTCCTTCTGGTTCACACTGTTGATTAGAGTTGCAGTTTCCTTCCTATCACTATTGGTTCTCTGTACATTTTCGTTTATTTGACTTAGCATTGCCTTCATTTTTTTCTTCTAATTTGTGACCAAATTCAACCAGTCCTGTGAGCATCCTGATTACCAGTGTTTTGAACTGTGCATTTGATAGGTTGACTATCTCTTCATTGCTTAGTTGTATTTTTTCTGGAGCTTTGATCTGTTCTTTCATTTGGGCCATTTTTTTGTCTTGACTCGCCTGTTACATATGAGGGGTGGAGCCTTAGGTGTTCACCAGGGCGGGGCAACCCACCCTGTCATTGCTTTGTGCTGCTGTATGTGGGGAAGGGGTCCAGAGGGAACAATGGCGCTTGCTCTGATCTCTGCCAGATTTCAGTCACTTCCCTCACTACCCACAAGCAAACTGAGTCCTTGTGGTGCTGATTCCTGGGTGGGTTGGCTTGTGTATGTTCTAGGACCCTGTGGGTCTCTCCAGTGAACTCTCCTGTGAGGCTGGGAGTTTCTCTTGCTGTCACCTCAAACTTTACAGGTGTTTTCAACTGGTGGTTTGAGGCTTTATTTCCCTGAGCTGGGCCCTGGGGTTGCGAGGTCAGCCTTGCTGCCCACATGTTCCTTTATCTGAGTGTGGGACTGCCCGCTCCAGCAGCCGCTGCCTTGCAGGTCTACCAGCTGCTGCCTTGCCGGCCCTGCTCCACAATTCACTGCTTCACTGGGGCCATCAGCTGCCTCCTTGTCAGCCCCTGTCCTCCACGGCTTCTTTGCCATGAGTCCTCTCTACCCCTCCTACCCGTCTGGATGGATGTTTCTTCTTTACCTCCTTGGTTGTCGGACTTCCATATGGTTTGATTTTCTGTCAGTTCTGATTTTTTTTTTAATTGTTGTTGTCCTTCTTTTGGTTGTGTCTACCTACCTATTCTTCAGAAGAATGCAAGAAAACTTTGAGCTCCATGCTCAAGCTTGTTCAGGACCAGGGTGTTCACACTGAATAACAGTGTTTCATGTGCAGTGAATATAGGAAAGCATTCAGGTATAGATCTTTTATTTGTTAAGCACCTGAGAGTCCATACTTGATATGTGTGTGGTGAATGTGGAAAATCCAACTGAGGTGTCCAGCCTGTGGCCCACGGGCCACATGTAGCCCAAGATGGATGTGAATGCTGCCCAACACAAAATAGTAAATTTACTTAAAACTATGAGACTTTTTTGTGATTATGTGTAACAATGTATTTAATCTGTGGCCCAAGACAACTCCTCTTCTTACAATGTATCCCAAAGATGCCAAAATGTTGGACACCTCTGGGAGAAGCTCAACTCTCAGTGAACATCAAAGAATTCATACTTAGGAAATAGTATAAACACAGCACGTGTGGAAAATCCTTAAACCATAAATCAATTTTTGTTTATTCCCAGAGAAGGTCCAAATTGTGTGCGATGACTGTGTGAAATATTTTAGCCATAGCTCAGTATGCATTCAACTCTGGAGAGTTCAAACTGGACAAAGGCTTTACAGGTGTAG